ACTTGTTAGAAGCTAAGGATAGCTCAATCTTGTTGAATGAGGTGACGCATTGCTATGACACGATTAGTGACTTAAACATCAATGTAGTTTGATAGAATAAATATCTGTTGTCAACTCGTCTCTTCGAGTCAAAGAATCCTAACGAAGGAATTTCTGTTATTGTAGAATGAGTCAAGAAACCGCTCACAATCAAAGTAACCAAATGCCAAACAACGAACAAGAGAATGTTCATACCAAAGCATCTAGTTTCTCACCTCCTATTCAAAATGAACCAGTGAACCCACAAAATATTCCCCAAAATGATCAAAATGTCGGAGGTCAACCTGATGCTATGCTACCTACCTTAATGGTAAACTTCTTGCAACAAATGACTCATGCCCCTATGTTTCAACCACCTCCACCACCACTTCGTTTGATCACTTTCAAAACCTTGAAAGATAATGGTGTTGAGGAGTTCTTGGGAGATCGAATTGCCGAACCCCATATCACTCTTGAATGGATCGAGCAGACCGCTCGTGTACTGCAAAATTTGAACATACCTCTTGTTGATCATCAAAAATTTGCATCTCAATTGCTCCGCAAGAAAGCCTATGAATGGTGGAAACGCACTGACGAAAATCCAAACACACCCAAACCGTGGACTTGGGAATTCTTCGATTGGGCATTCAAGAAGGAAAATATACCAGCTCAATTCTGTGAAGAGAAGCGTGCTGAATTTATCGAATTAAAGCAAGGAGATATGACACTCCCTGAATACCAACAAAGATTTGTCCATCTCGCTCAGTTTGCACCCACACTGGGGAGCACAGCGGTTGACCGCATTGAGGAGTTTCGCAAAAGACTTCGACCTGATCTCAGGCCGCACGTATCTACTATTCAAACTATGGATTTCATTGAGGCATACGACCTAATCTCTAAAGCCGACAAAGATCTAAGTGATTACTATGAAAGTCTGAAGACTGAGGTTGTCAATTTAAATGAACGACCAAATACAAGTGGGAAAACCCCTGCCAGAAATTGATAGTACCCTACACTCGAAAAAGGGAAAATCAATGACAATTCAATCGACGTCATCCATGAACAAAATGAGAGTATGGAAACATCCAAAGTGTAACGTTTGTAAAAGACACCATCCAGGAGATTGCTGGCGTGCGCAAGGATTATGTCTAAGTTGTGGTAAACCTGGACATTTCCAACGAGAATGTCATTCTAACCCTAAATCATATTCAGTTACTTCTGTCCAAAATCAACCTGTTCGCTCTGGAACAAGTCAATGTTCTAAGCCATGAAACAATTCAAAGAATCCAACCCAAGGATGATACTGTGTGAAGATCCTAATGTGCTACAAGGGCTCGAGGATATATTGAATAATGTAGAAACGTTATGTAAACAAGAAATTATCTTTCGATTTGTATCCCAAGAATATTCGTAACTGCTTGAATCTTCGTGTGTTGAACACTTTGTATAATAAAATCTTTCTTTCAACCCATCTTGAAGAAAATGTTTGATATTTACATGATGCATTCTAACGTTGAAAATAAATATTTTTCTGACTTGCACTGGCCATGCAGCTTAGAATAATATTTATGGTTAACTCATAATGTTCATAGACAATATTATTCCAACACAAATTCAACTGAAATTACGTAAAGTAATATTACAAATGCAATTCTAAATCTAATTCCCCGGGATTTGCAAACTCGTCATAATTAGCCCCAGGACCCAGAAAGGCTTTAGCAAACTCTAGTTTGTCTAAAAGTTCATCAATAAAGAAAGAAGAAATGAAAAGTTTCCTCTGACTGGAAGCCATGAAGTTCTATCTCACCGCATCATCTAGAAATTTGATTAGGTTATTAAAATAGTCGTCAATGTTCAAGAGACCAATGGGTTTACTGTGCAACCCTTCGGATGCCCATGAGATCAAAGTGAACAAACCTTCCATAGTGTCAATCCCTCCAGGAAGTACGATGAAGGCTTCCACAACATGATTCATCTCGAAGTACTTATAGTAGTTTCTGGAAACTGTGTATTCTGCACCATACGTAGGTCCGTACACCTGTCGTGCTGCTATGTACCCTGGTATGAAGCCTCTAACTATACCACCATTGGTATAGACCGTTGAAGCAACAGCTCCTTGAAGGCCAACGTTGCCTCCTCCATAGGTAAGCCTTATTTTTCTCCTTACCAATTCCCTTCCAAAATCTACCACCGTAGCCATGAACTTTGGATTTCTATCAAGAGCATGACTACCAAGTAGACCAACAAATTTTATGGTGTAAGGAAAAGTTCGAGAAGTTCCTTCCATAATGTGAGAATGTGAGATACTCTTGCCACAATCATGATATATATAGGCTCTGAAACCTGACCTTTGAGAAAAAGGGTAGTATCCTCAGTCGAATTTTGAACAGCAAAGATGGATTCAATTTACCTATTGACAATGACATACTCGCCAATACTACAGTCTGCTGACGATCTGACATATTGAGACTCATGAACAATTGGATTCACTGTCCTAAAGTACGTTCAAATCTGAGACGAAAAGTCAAATTACCTAATTCCTAAGACAACGATCCCTTGAGTAACCTGAAAAAAATTACGTTACAACGTATGAATTACAACAACCTCCAAATTTCCAACTGTATTTATCATAAACCTTCTAAAGGTATTGAAGAAAGTTTGAATCGATTCTGTTAACCAATGACGTACAAACGAGACTCGTGACAGAACGAAGTTATGTAGAATTATGTTAAGTATGCAATACTATACACTATGAAGGAACTTTAGTCATCAATACCAAAAGATCAGTGAATGCTTGCTTAATCGAAAATTGTTATTCTTTCAAAGATTGAACGAGTTTTGTGACATCAACGATTTAAGAATGCGTATCTATGAGACGTAACCATGTGGACATAACACAGTCATGATTAGATATCAATACAACAAGATGTTCATTGTGGACCTTAGAAGAATTTCGAGGACGAAATTCCTTTAAGGGGGGGAGAAATGTAACGCCGCAAAACATACCCTAGAATTATTAATAAATAAATATTCGATTAATCAAATTTGTTTTGATTAAAATAAATTGTTGTTGGGCTTTGAGCCGATACAGAATGTGTTTTAATATCCATTATCACAATTTGGATAAATTTCATAGAGATAAATCCAATATGTTGACTATTTGTGTGGTCTTGATTGGGAACCTGTGTACAGACCCAAAAACAAGAATAAATGAATAAATTATTTATGAAGTGAACTTTAAAATAAATCATGAGAATAAGTAATATGAATTAAATGAGAGAACTTTTCTGAATAAAAGTCAACAAATCAATTTTGACTATGTCAAAGTCAAACACCCAAAATATGATGTCGGAAAAAGTATTAAAAATAAATGTAAAAATTATATCGTTAGATAGAGTTTAACTATCCGATCGCAACAGTGCAACCGGAATTCAATTCGGAGAAAGTTGGACCAAAAAGTGTACCCCGACTGGAACCAAAATTGGTCCTAATTAGGGAACGGCGTGTAGATCAATTAGGATCACCGTCCTGCGCACTACGCCGATCGCACAGATTGTTAAGGAGACATCCTGGCTTCTTCCTCACCACCACCACTATATAAGCACACTTCAATTCCCTCATTTCTTCACCATTCTCCACAATTCTTCATCCTATTCTGTTCCTTGTTGAGAGAGGAGTACAGTGGTGCCATTATTTTGGTGAGAGGTCGCCGGAGTTGGGAGTAATCATCGCCGGAAGTTTCGCCAGAAAAATCTCGAAACCTTCGATAAACTTCAAGGTAAGCCCGTAGATATATCTAGTGACTAGAATGTTCGTATAGATCGTTTGTACGTTCATAAATGGTCATTTGGTTGAGTTTTGTGTTTGACATATGTGAAGAACCAAGAATCATAAACCTTGAATTTGTTGTTAAAACTTCGAATTGATGCCTCTAAAATGATCTACGAACCTTGGAGAACATTTCTATATAGTTTAATTGAAGTTTGGTGACCAAAAATTGAACTTGAGAAAAATGGGTTAGAGGTTGAAGATGATGAATAGTAACCCCTTCATCTTCCTGCATTTTCCGACGGAACGGACGACCGTTCAAACCTAACGGTCGACCGTTACGAACATTTTTTCAGTCCAAAAATGCTATTTTGAAGCTATAAAAGCCTATTTTTTTATACCAATCAATTTTGATCAATATAAAAATAATTCTTAAAAATAAAAATGATGTTTTTACAAATAAAATTTTATGTGATAAAATAAAAATGATGTTTTGACAAATAAAACTTTATGTGATGTATGACGGTAAGCTAAGGTGTTAACACTCGATGCTAGGCCGCTATTTGTTATTGGATATTGTTAAAATTATTATTGATGTTGTTTATGATTAGACTTTGATGAATATTCTTATTAAAATAATAATTATGAATGATTAAATCATGACTAAAAATAAATAAATTGATGATTATGAAAATGATGTGTATTGTTAAGGATATCTAGAAGAACTCTAAGATATACCCACTTGGAAAATTGATGATGATTATTAAGGATATCTAGAAGAACTCTAAGATATACCTCCTTGACCAATTTATAAATCGGGGTTAAAACGTACGTACGGGATCCAGACCGGATATCACCCACCCGACAGATCACTGTTCGGTTGGTACGTAATCCACGTGACTCATAGGGTGGATTATCGATTCTTGTGTTCTGCATTAAACTATTTATAGTTTAAGGGCCTGGTTAGAAATATTGCCTTAGACTAGGAATAGCTAAGAGCTTGTATAAAAATGATTTGGC